ATTTAAGCACTTGGGATGGTTAGGGACAGAGAGCACAGACCGACAAGGAATCTCTTGGCTACCCTCCATCGCGGCACATGTTCTGGCGTTGGAGAGCATTAGGTCACTTCGCTATTGCCATGGAATGCCACAGGTTCTGCACCACTGCCCTGATGCACAAGATGCTGGCACTGTGCACCACTTGTGCAGCGTTTCAGGCAAGGGCAGAGCTCGAGCCGGAAAGGCTCCGCTGCGCTCCGGTGATCTCACGGTGCATCGATGCTCTGTCATTGCTTCGAAAGCTAAGGCTGCCAAGGCTCCAAAATGTAACCAGGGCGACAATCCAGAAAGTGCGTTGTCCTCACAGAACACAGTACGGCCAGCCACTGTTGAGCAGACAGTTCTTCACTGCTCTGACGTTTCATGTCCAATGCTGGCCGTCTGAGACTATACTTGTCTTAGCGGGAGTGTGTCGGTGAAGCATTACCCACTCAGTGGCACAGCACGGCTGCGCAATTGAGGGTCTGATCGGGCTGGGCTGCTTCTCAGCTTCGGCTGAAGCACCCTTGTGGTATGGCAGGCTGCTGAAATTAAAATTTGGGAGGCATGCCTATTGTTGAGCAACGGGACTCGAATCTTTAACTACCTGACACCCGCTTGGTGGAAGCCTAGCGGGTTCAAACACTACAATGTCAGATGCAGTCTTGCAGATTGTAGCCCCCGACGATCGTGGAATTCAGCAATGCAGCTGACCATGGTGTTTGTGTCGACGAACGGCATCAAACTCAAACAGTCGAGGTCAATTAAGATTTTGTGAGAGGTCTGGTGCCTGAAGCTACTGGTATCGCCAAAAACTATGTTGTGCCCCTGATCTTGATCAGACACTGAACTCTAATTTCACGGGACATACTTGGCCCGCTGCATTTGGATCATTCCGATGCGCATCATACCTGAAGAAGAACACAAAAGGGTAGCCCAGCGATCTGAAGCGACTCGCTCAGAATTCGCTCGACCATCACTGGCCGACTGGCCCAGCCTAGAGAGACGCTTGCAGAAATCCTCCAGCGCTGCAAGGCCGGCGGCGGTCCCCGGCCTGAAACCGCCATGTGCAGACATGTGCAGAAACCGAATACCACATTTGGGCGGCTTTTCTGAGGCGTCCACACGATCGCCGCCACCGGCCGAACGGAGTCGTCGACCTCGGACATATTCCTTTAGCCTTACGACATCGGACCAGGTGCCAGCCTGCAAAGACTGCTCGGCCTGTACCCAATCGACAGGTTGAAAGTTGCCCTGGCCAAGTCCAACCCACATGTGTAACTCATACTGCGCATACTTCCCGCTTCCATGTCGTGATTGAATTTGACGTGAGCAACTGCTGGCTTAGTGATGCGGAGCTCCTTCAACTTGTGTGGATGTTTCTCCACGCGGGGGAAGTCTGTCAAGTACGTCCCCAACCTCGCAAGTGTCAAGCTCACACGAATGAGGCACAAACTACGCTCCTGAGGCCCCGACGACTGCATGATTTTTTTCCGGATGGTTCGCGCCTCTGTTGTCCGGAGAACGTCAAAACACTTTCGCAAAACCACGATTACCACTGCAAGACCCGTGTCTCGACACACGTAGAGGCTGTCTGCTTCCAGCATCGACTTAGCTGCCACCACTCTGAACATATCCACCGGCAGCCAGGAAATTCATAGCATTTTTCAACAATTTTCCCTTTCTGCTGCTTACCGGCCGGTAAGGGCTCAATGCTTCGCGTGGCCACATGAATGGCATAAAACCATGTCATGAGCAGCGGAAAACCGTCGGGAAAACCATGGAGACCCTCCAGTCGACAAGTTCGGAGATGTTTGGCTTTGCTGCTCAGGCCCCGGCAGCTGTTTCTTGCTTGTCTGACCTTTGGCTCTAGCACATGCCAGCTCCAAAGCCCGCTGAAGCAAAGCTCAAGCTCAAGCGCCATTCATCGGCCGCAAAATGCAAAGGTTGCAGCGCAGCCCAGACTGGGACGACATTATGCGCATCAACCTGCAACGGCGCTTCACTTCTTTGCTGCAAGTCACCACCCAAAACGGTCGACGGTCCATTACTTGCCAGCGCCTACAAACTTATGTTTGGCAAGCAAAGAAAACTGGCCAGCGCCTGCACGACAGGCACCTTCCGAGGGCTAGATTCGCACGGCTATACAATGCTTAACAGCTACATCGATGTCGGGATCCCGGCTGGAGGTCAGCTGGCTCACATCGAGCATAAGCATAAGCCATAAGCGCTTTCTCCACGAAGCTCACAAGGGCAACGGCTAGTCACATCTGCAGTCCGGAGTGAGACAGAGGCTACGTTCGGTTCAAGAACACAAGCTCAGATGCAGCGGTAGCGGTATGCAGTGCATATGGGGCTCGTCATTCCTCCCCTCGGCCTTCTTGTCCTCCTCCTGCTCTCCTCCTGGTCGGCCAGCTCATCGGCTGCAGACACTGCAGACTGTCCTTGTAGTTCTCCGCAGTTCTGGAGGCGGCAGCACCACAAAGGCAGCAAAGGCAGCAGCGTGCAGTCGCAGCCGTCACAGGCTTCAGGTCGACAGGCTTCTCGGCATTGATGGGTCAAGGTCCAATCTCCCGATCTCCAGGAATATTAGCCTGTCAGCATGTACTCGCACTTTTGCAACGCCTGCTCGCATTGCTCTTCCAGACCGGCTGGTGCCAGAGCCGGATTCCGATTCCTCAAGCGCCGCACATGCGACAGAGTTCTCTTGGACTCTTGGAAGAGCATCTGGTGCGCTGTTAGAGCATGTGCGGCATGCGCCCTAACGGCTTCGCTCAGGTTGCCGACTTGCCGGGACTTGCGAACATGTCGTGCGCTTTGCAGTTGCCGGGAATCTCGCAATAAGTGCAGCACGCTAGAAGTCCCACTTGTCAGCAAAAGCTCGCACATGCGACGCCAGTGATCAGCCGGTCGAACCTGGGTCTGCGAGGTTTTGGATGATGCCTGTGCCGCCGTGAGGAGATCAGATAGCGTTTTCCGAGTCCTGTATGCAGAGGCTTGCAAATGAAGGTAGGTGGCAAACCTCGCCCACCAAGCCAGCGCCACTTCTGATTGCAAACCGGCTAAGTGTGGCCGCATGGCCGAGTTTTCCAATGCGATTTGTTGGGCAGCTCGCTGTTGCGTGGCAACAGCATTGAGCACGTATTGATTGCACAATCGGAACTGCGTCTGCGACGTGAAGAGCACAAGCAGCTGCCACCTTCGTATTGCAGCCTCCTGAACTCCCACAGTAGCTACTTCTGCAGCCGCCTTTGCCGTGACCATATCGACTTCTTCTTGACGCTGGACTTCCACCTCCTGCAACTGAAGGACGGATGTCCTTCTTTGAGAAGCCGCCCGGCTTGTGATGTGCTTCAGAGCTCCGCAGCTTGCAGCTGACTGCTGGTCACGTAAAACGCTCAAGGCCATGCGGGACCAACGCTCCTCCCGAGAAAGCCGGCGCTCAGCCTCCAACTGACCCTTGCAATCCTGCAGCTCTGCACGTAACTCCTCTATTGTCACCATTGCTGAAGAGGCGGCTTGCTTCGTTGATCTTGTTTGTTGGAGTCTGCTAGCTTGTTGCTCATGGGCCTCCCTGGCATGAAGCTGCAGCAAAGCCAGGCGAGACCAAACTTCTCTCAGGAAGCGATGGCGCAGCTCGGTTGCAACTTCAGTTGCCTTGTCTTGCCGAATGGATGCGCACAGCACGGCCACCCACTCGGCAATCTCCCGATGATGACTTGCCCATGCGCGAGGCAGCATCTTCCTGGCCGCAAGCTGCAACATAAATCGCGCCCAATCTAGCGCTGCTGCATTCTGGCGTGTGGCCGTCTCCAACGAAGCGCGACATTCCCCTTGCAAGTCACCAAGCCGGGCTTTAAACATACGAGCCATGCTGGCGGTCCCGGAGATGCGTTCGCTGATGCAAAATTCCCCCATCAACTGGAAGACTAAACCTATCCATTTCGGGATGATCGACCAAAATGTTCCAGCAGCGGCGAATGCCTGAACGCGGTTTCGGAACTTGCTGGTTGCAGTGGCCGAATAGTTCGCGAATGCGGTGGCATGCTCCTCCTCTGCGGCTGCTCGTTGCAATGCCAGAAACAATCGGGCCCAGCTTGTGGTCAAAGCAGAAGAAGCTGCGGCTCCCCGCAAAGCACGAGACAAGACTTCTTGATGCTTGGACGAAGCAGCTAGGGACAAGCGACCAACTTGCGTCAGGCGGTCGGAGGCCTGGCAGGAGACAAGCACGGAACTCTTTGGCAAATCAAGGCATCAACTGTAGAAGGCCTTGTATTCCGACACCAGCTTGGTGCACAACGTTGTCCATCGAAGCTCCATTATTCTTGACTTGCGCTTCCTCTGCGAGTCCTGTCCAACAAAACGAGAAAGAAGTGTCTGTGTTGCATGAAATTTCGCAAAGGACGTCTGACGGGGACGGATCCTGCTTGACGAGACCCAGAGTTACAGCCACTTGGCTGGTGTATTCCTGTACATGCTGGCAAGAGCTCATCCTTCCCGGTCTTCACGTTTCAATTTTCATAGCAAACGGGAGCGAGACTTTGCCTTGCAATCCGATGTCCAACAGAGTCCCAACATAAAGATCGTCCAGCCTCGGTTGGTTACATGGGAAGCACTTCCCGTCCCATCACACGATCGCTGCTGTCAAGATGTGTGACGCTGCAAACAGTTGAGGCAAGCTGCGAAACAGCAGCTGCCGTGAGCGAGCCTGCATGTCAAACATACCATCTCACCCTTTTAACAACAAGGAACGGGCTTCACTAAACCTCAATCCCCTTACTGACGATCGTTAACCGATGCCTCGCGGCTCGCTTCCTGGGCCTTTGTGGCCACCCGCACCTCCACCTGCCAGAAAAAAGGCCAGCTGATCGTCTCAGGACCGACAGCTGAACCCTCATCCACGCGAAAACAAGTAAGCAAGCAAGTAAACCAACAACCAAGCAAGCAAACAAACAAAGACACTCACGCCCCTGCGCGTGCGCTCACGGGATCGATTGATGCGCTCAGGGATTGCATGAATCATCAAACTACATAAGGATAGGTCCGCAGCCGTCCCTGAACGCTCTTGTCAATCGTCGTCCGCATCGTCATGCACACTTGTGCCTGAGAGCTGGGTTGCGGCGCCCATACGTGCCTATGAATTTGTAATTAGTCCTTGCAGGGATTACACAATGTAGAGGCACACGCGCGAAATCCAAGCGAGAGCGAGTCCTGTGAAGGTTTGTTATGGTCTTGAAACAGCCTTCGTGCCTTCT